GTGCTCTTCCGATCTCCCCAAAACCCCAAAACCCCATAATCCAATGCTAATGACAATAAAGTGTTAAAATTAAAGTTATCTAAGTTTTATAAGATATGCCAGTCAATATTTGAATTTATATTTTACCGAGGGGACTGAGAAATCGCTTCCATCGCCAATGACTGTTCCACTTACTTCTAGACATAGATAATTTCTTCCATCAGGCAAGGGTTCACTAGCACTTTCTTTGTATATTTCCTCGACAAGTCTACCTAATCTAGGAGCATGAGCATTCTTTGGAGCATATTGATTGTACAAAAGTTGCTTGCCCGAACCAATCATGCAAATCTCAATGTTAAACCTGGCTTTCATTTGCGCCAGCAGCTACTCAACGGTTAGAGGTCCCATCACTATGATCTTATCATAAATTGTATGATCTTCTGGTATAGCAGTAATCTTGCTCATCATTATTGGATCATACTCAGTTGACTTAATTTTCTTAACTTCATTTGGCTCCGAGAAAATGAATGTAGGCAGAGCGAGATTTATGAAGGCGTCTTTATACTTGGTAAGAACGCCATTCCCCAAGTGCCCTTAGACTAAGTTGTATATTTAGGCTGTAACGCAACCAGTAATCATTGCTGTAGTAGTAGCAATTGCTGGAATAATCTTTCCAGCAATCATCTTTGTCTTTTAATGATCACACTCTATGATTTTATAGTTTCTTGCTCTAAGGTTTGAAGCGGCATGAATAAACTCAATATGATAGTTGGTGTCATCGTCCTTTTCAAACTCAGCAGGAATGAAATCCTTTGGTACTAACTTGCCAGTCTCAGTCTTAATATGCTTTAAAAGTTCCATGATCTATTTCTCATCTTAAGATAGTTCAGGGGGTGCCTTCGCGCCTGCTTTTTACCCGGCTGCAGGCTTTTGCTATTATATTTGCTAAGGAGCTGGTTGTGCTTATTTACTCTCTTCCAACTCAATATGAACTGTCTTTGGCTTGTAGGCTGGAGTCTTAAACTTACCAGCTTTTTGAGCTACTTCATTATGATTCTTGTTTTGAGGAAGTCCTAGGTTGTAAGCGATCAAGTTAGCACAAGCAATTATGAATTGAACATGCAATTGATCACTATGATTAAATGGCTGAGCATGTGGGAATCTCTTTGGCCCAGACCAGAATGGCTGACCATCCTTATCCTTGTGATTCTCTGGGAAAGTATGAACCAAACTTTGAATGTTGAGGTCGAAGTGCTCATCAAAGTAGTGACGAGCTAGCTCAATGCATTTCAGGAAGTCAGCAGTCTTTTTCAGATTCAAAAGCTTTCTTATTTCTTCAAGAGTGGTCTTCACTCCATCCAAAGTTGTAGCTTTCTTAAGATCATTAACGTAATCATTTGGCTTTGTTAGGTAGTTGACTGCTTCGTTTGGCTGGTCGTGGAAGATTCTACTGAATAAGTCTCTGCCCCATTCGATGCAATGCTCAATCTAGTTGGGGAAATTTCTAAGAGTGCACATTGGGATTCCTTCTTCAGGAGGATCTTGAGAATCTCCATAGCATTGAGTCTAGTGAGGAAGTATCATTTGCATATTAGCTTTAGTTCCAAGAGTGCCGCTTTCAAGTAAAGGTTTATTATACCAAACACATCTGCCATCAACATATAATCTGGCATTGATGTTGTCAACTGCATTCACAACAAAGTCCTACTTGTTCCAGAACAAGTCATTGAATACTTACTCTGTGTCTGTGCCTACTCTTGTTTGGTAGTCCATTACATTTAGAGCTGGATTGATGTTTCTTGCAATCTCACAGGCAACCTTTGACTTGGATTATCCAACGTTGCTCTTTCTAAACAAGAACTGTCTGTTTAAGTTAGATACCTCTATGTTATCATTATCTGTAACCGATACTCTTCCCTCTTCTGAACATCCTACTCCCATGAGTGCAAAAGCCTTTATAAGTTCACAGCCAAGCGCTCCAGCACCTACCATAAAGGTGTGTAAATCATTCAATTATTGTTGAACATCTCTTCCATAAACCCTTATCTAGTCATCGTATCTGCATTGAAGCGGTTCCCTATTAATAGAATTGTCGTCACTTGGTAGTGTTTCAAAGATATCGTAGTGCAGCCATTGTTTTAAAGGCGAGTACTTGCCAGTAAATTTAACGACCTCTTGAGCTATTATTCCTCCGAAGAATGCTGCCATTGGGGAAATGCAAGTTTGTGCGAATCTAGCAACATTATTCCAAATTTAGAAACTATCGGTAGGGTCTGAGGGTTTGGCTGAGTTTTTGTATTCCTAATTCAAATTGGTTGTATAATTATAGTATTCTTAAATTGCCTCATATTCTGAAATTGAAAGGTTGGGATATCTCTTGTTTTATCTATAATACTCAAAATATGCCAGATAGCTGAAATGCAATGCTTCAGATCTTCCAATAAGTCTGAAATCAGGGGTGTCCAGACATCCATACCTTTGAGATGCACTAGGATTCAGTAAAGCATCTTTAAAATTCATAAACGATATCTTTTAAGGCATCTTTATATTTTGAACTTAACCCTCTCTTGTATATGCTCCGAACTTGGAAGCATCTACCTTAAGTCTGAAGCTATAGCCATCAATGACTTCTATCTCAGTAGGAGGCAGTGAATTTAGCTGAGTCATGCCCTAAACTTCTCTGAATTGAACATGATCTCCACTTTAGAAAATATGCCTTTTGTCTTCATGGACAGTTACAATGCAAGGATTTGACTGAGTTGCACTAACCACTATGAAAGACTTAGTTTCTTCACCATCTGGGTCAGTTACTACAAATTCATCTCCATAGTCTAAAAAGATGAATCCTGATGGGCCGAAGTTAGTGCCAAGTATAAAGCCAATTCCATGCTTTCTGCAGAGTTCGTCAACCTCAATCACATGATCTAGGTCTTGGAATAACTCAGTGTAGACTACTACATGATAGTCTCTGTGATCCTCTAGCTTCAGTTAGTCAATGACCTTTACTTTCACATAAGGATTTAATTCTTGCAGTTAGGCGTGTGAAGCTTACGCTCTTGTAGTGAGAGTCATCACATCCTTTTCCTTCAAATAGAAGTTTGCTGATAGATCTCCCCATTGAATTGGGTGTGGATCGTAGAGAGTGACTGAATGTGGGCCAGCCAAGATCAAGTTCTTTGCAGTTTCAGCTCCTAGTCCTCGCATGCCAACGATAAGCACATTCATTTTAATAAGTTTCGTCATCGTCTCCATGCCATAAGTGCCTATCTGTCTTGAGTAAAGATTAGTGTCTATTTTATGTTCCTCCTCGTGGTGCTGCTTTTTATGCGCTTCTTCTTTCTGCTTTCCTGCAGCTACTTGTGTCTTTGCTGGAGCTTTTCTATCTACCATATCTTGAAATATAAAATTAATAGAAAGTTAAAATACCGAACAAGTCTTATGAAAGTATGAAGCATGGGGTTTTGGGGTTTTGGGGTTTTGGGGTTTTGGGG